TCAAAAAGTCCACCAAAGTCATGAAAGTTCTACAAAGTCCACAAAAGTCATCAAATTTAAAAAGTTTTAAAAAGTCCTTAAAAATCTCAATTGAATACACCCTCCTTAAGTTGTTTTGCCAAGAGAGATTAATGTTATTATATTTTGTTTATTAAACAACCATATTTATTAAATTTCAAATTGTCAATGAGATAAATAAAATAATAATAATAATAATAATAGTAATCACAGCGACCACTTTAAAATGTTGAATATTTAAGTTAATAATTTGATTTTATATTTTTTTTTAAAATATTTATTGTCAGGTATTTTAGATGGATATTTTCCTGCGTTTATGACATGGGAGAATGCTACCATCCCGTTACGGGATGGTTCCGTTGTGTTTTCTAGCCATAAATATACATGTAATCTAGTGATGAGTAATTAATCCAACGCTTAAAAATACAACGGAACCATCCCGTAACGGGATGGTAGCCATTCTCCTATGACATGATCATCACACAATTCAGCACTTCCGAAAATTTTGCTACTCTGTGTGTTTTATAATGGACCAATCCGACAATTTCGGCGATATTTTAAACACTAGTTATTACTTATTAGTTTAAAATATTATTTATTTATTCAATATATAGACTAATATTATTAAAAAAAAAAAAGTGCAGAACACTAAATAATTATTATCATTAATTATTTACCAAACATTTTCATAATAAAAATCAGCTAATAAAAATCTCTAATCAAATATATAATTAACACAATCTCTATATTTTTCATGCAATTTACCGAAAAAAAAGAACCTAAAAAAGCAGATTATGGCAATAAAATTTGAAAAATGGGAAAAACAGCTGTCACAGCAGGCAAATGATAAAAAAAAAAATAATAATAATTCAAAAATCGAAATCACTTTGAATTGTATTAACTATTAAATCAATAATATCACTCTATAATTTGATTAATTTCCATTTTAAAAGCTATATTTACCATTTTAATATCACCGTAAATAAATTACTATAATTAAATCCAATTTTTTCGCGTCAACGTCTCAGTCAACGGTCCACCATACGCTACCATAAATATCACTCGTCTTTCCCCATTCTATACGTTGCTACCACATTTGCCGGTTTTTTTCTTCTCATCTTCTCCACAGGTAATCTCTCTCCCTCTTTCTCTCTCTCTCTCTCTCTCTCTCTCTCTGTGTGTGTGTGTATGTGTGTGTGTGTGTGTTTGTGCGTGCTTGATTGCACGTTATGAAACGCCCATCGTTTTCGTCTGTGCTGCGGTTTGAAAATTTATCTTCTGCATTTTAATGGCGATGAACAGAGCAGTGAACCTGAAAACCGTCGTGAAATCGGCGTGATCGATCCATTTGGATAATATTATTTTTTTTGTGAGCTTGTTGTTTTTGGTTCACCATTGATTTGGTTTTTTCAAACATCTAATCGACGACTGTATACAGTCTGTACGTAATGGATTTGATATATGAACATATGTATATCTCCGATCGAGACTCACTGTAACTCCGATTGGAAAATCGCCGTGGATTAATCTCTTCGATTCTCTGATTTTTCATCTAATTTGAGCCGTTCGATTGTCAATTTTACAGATCTGTTTAGCCCTCGCAATACCGATGAAATTTCGTTCACCGTGAATTGAATCTGAAATCTGCAGGTCAAAAAAATAAAAAATAAAAAAATAAAAATGGCCGTGGGGACTGAATTCAACGGAGGCGCGCCGTCGGGTGTGCGGCGGAGGGCCTGCTCGTGCTCAAAAGACGATTTTCTCCCCGAGGAATCGTTCAGGAGCTGGGGCAACTACGTGAACGCGCTTAGGCAGACACCGGCCCGGCTGGCGGACCGGGTCCTGACCCGGTCGACCGCGGACGCGGAGCTCGAGGTGAAGGCGCGCAGCGAGCACGAGATGAAGAGGACGCTGACGTGGTGGGACCTGATTTGGTTCGGCATGGGCGCCGTCATCGGCGCCGGGATATTCGTCCTCACCGGGAAGGAGGCGAAGGAGGCCGCCGGCCCCGCCGTAGTGCTGTCGTACGTGGTCTCGGGGCTATCAGCGTTGCTGTCGGTCTTCTGCTATACAGAGTTCGCCGTGGAAATCCCTGTTGCAGGTAACGGTTAGCTGACCGAGTCTTTTTTAGTTTGGTATACTGTGTTGTTCACGTGAAATTATTTGTTTATTGATTAATTTAATTATCTAGGAATTAATAAGTGATTAAATTATATACACATGTCAACACTTGCACGAGTCAAAAGAATCTTCTCAAAGAAAATTTGTGTTGTTTAGTTATTATTGATTAATAATTCTTCTCATCGGCTGTTTTGACATTTTGATTATTTTTTTAATGGTTTCTATAGCTAATCTTATAGTTCATATTATACATAGTATATTTTTAATAAAAATGCATACTTATATTTGTAAATAAAAATGCATACTTATATTATACAATATCGTAATTTCATTTTTAAAATATGACATTGAATTTTGAAATTATGCATCGCTCTTAAATTTTTGTATGTTTAATTAAAATATGACATTTTAATTTGAATTTGAAAGTATGTATCTATTTTAGGAAAAAAATATGACGGGTATAATCTTTGTTAGTCATATATATTTTTTTTTAATAAAAATGCATATTTATACTATAAAATATCATATTTTTTTTTTTTCTCTCCACGATGATTTTTAGCTTATCACATTTTGATTTGAAATATTAGTTGAAAAAGTAATACACCAAGATTTTGTTTATCCTTTAAGCTACTTTTCCACATTTTCTGGTTATGTTCATACACCAAAGTTGACAATCAGTCTCAAGTCTCAACTACCTCAAAACAATCCTGCCCTTGGCTCTGTTTGTATTCCGTTGTTGACCTGCAAACACTAAAATTTAAACCTACATCGTTGACTTGCGAATTGCCTTAAGTCTTTTTATCCTTGGATGGTTTGATCATGATAATAATGCCTACATTTCCAATTTTACCCTTGCAGGCGGCTCCTTCGCTTACCTCCGAGTCGAGCTCGGCGACTTCATTGCCTTCATCGCGGCCGGCAACATCCTCCTCGAGTACGTAATCGGCGGTGCCGCCGTTGCCCGAGCGTGGACTTCCTACTTCGCCACCCTCTGTGGCCACCGTCCCATCGAATTCCGCATCGTGGCGCACTCCCTGCGCGAAGGCTACAACGAGCTCGACCCGATTGCCGTCGTCGTCCTCGCCGCCATCTGCGTCCTCGCCGTCCTGAGCACCAAAGGCTCGTCCCGTCTCAACTACA